TCACAGTATTTATTCTTGTTTTTGTTTTTAATTGGTGAACTACTGTCTCTTTTCAGTGATTTAGTTTTATTTTGCTTCAGTGTGTATCACCAGACAATGTTTTGCTTTTGTAATGGCCTTCTTTCTATCGAGGGACTATTGTTTATGTTATTTTGCATAAAAGTTTACAAGCCTGTCTAATATACTCCACTGATGAAACGGCTAAACACACACTTTCTAAACTCCTCTTCTTTTCCCTCCATCATCATCGGCAGCAGTAGTCGTGTTTCTTTTTGCCTGGCTTTATGTGAAAGTGTTATGTTACCTAATTAGCCATGTGTTTTCGGTTATGTCAGTGATGTTTGTGCAATTGCTAAAGCATTTCTCTGTTTAACGTGTAAACAGCTGTGTAAAGTATCCCAGACCATGACCAAGTTTTTATTTGCCTGAACTGAACCAGACTTAAAATGTACAGCAGTCGGGAGCTTATCTAGTCACATGTGGGTGGTTGTCCCTGTATTCTTTCCTGTTCAAGTGAAGCTCACTTCCATCTCCACCTTGACTTTTCAAGCCTGCGGCCATTTAAAGCTGGAATTAGATTGCATGAGTTAATTCCTTGTACTAAACTATTTAAGGCAGGGATTACCAAAGGTCCTCCCGGTAGGGGGAAAAGAGGTTAAGGTGTCTATTCTCGCAGCCTTGGCAGTGTGACCAGTTGACATGAAACGAACACTGCTGTGCATCTTATATGTGGTTGTTTTTATTTGGGCTAGCTCTCATAGAAGATCCAAGAGTCCAACTTTTATCATTAAGTTTACCTGTGTTTTTTTTGTTTTAAACCTGATTTATTTCAATCATGTACACCAAAGTAGTTTTGCCATGATCTGTACTGTACTGTACAAAAAATGTGCAATAAAGATGTAAATCTCTTCCCAGCACATCTTCCCCTGTTTAGTTTTTCTTTCTTTTATTTAGTTGTTGATATTTTGGAGGGGTTCATATCAATCTATACAACAAGATCAGTTGTTTTCCAGGCAAACTTTAACCTATGCAAATGTCAGCTAGCATGTTGCTATTTTGCATGTACAGTGTTCACAAAGCTTATCGGCTAAAGCAGGGATTCTTGTGTTATTTCTTTTTATGGCAACTTCACTTGCAGAAGCATAAAGAAGTTCACACCCCATGCTTACTAATTTAGCAATTCGTACCCATTTAAAAAAAAAAAAAAAGAAATATGGTAGCATCATTTTCTTATTTTCCACAAAAATCATATTAAATAAACTGATGTTCACCACTGATCAGAATGTGCAGTATGTGTAAATTATAAATATATTTTCCCACTTTTCCATGCTAGTTGCTTAACAAACATGTAAGAAGCCATAGCTAGAAGCTTAATTTGTACCATTGTGTTTTTCCCCTTTTGCTTTGTTTTCTTGTAGCGCAATTATAAAAGATTTAAAAAAGCAAAAAGTTCTACTTGGCTGTACTTTTGATGTGTTTTGTCTGACAGAATCCAAAAGCAACGACACGAATTCATTATTTGCGATCCAGGAACGTAGATAAATATTTAAAGGGCAATAAAGAATGAAGTGAGCCACAGTGGTATGAATGTTTTATTTCAAAAACTGGATCAAGAAGCAAACGTCATATGAAGAAGAAACAACTTAACTGCTCTTTTATGACCCTATAAATATATAGCACATGAGCTAATGTGTATCTGTGTATGTATAGTTAAAAAACAATATCTCCTCGAGGACTACAAGATACTGTGCATTCATTAGAACACTGAACCAGTGTTTTCTTTATAATAAACATAGTGGTTCTTACCCAGAGCTGCAGTACTGCTAAAAATCCAGGTTAACAGATAATTGTTTGTCACATTGAGAGAGAGCTGATTGGCTGATTGCATAATTCTGTCATTCTGATTGTTTGTTTGTTTGTTTTAATGGTACTCATGAGGGAATATAGGAAGAGAACAATAACAACCATCTTTCCTTTTAATTTGAGATTGCAGCTATATAAATGTGGCTGTTCATAGTTCAGTTCTGGTTCATTTTTAAAGAAGGATGTGCTGCTTTTTTATAATAGAGATGGAGACAGAAGAGGTGACTAAGCAGTGGGATTCAATCCAAGATCAGCAAAGTGTCACTGTGGGTCAAGAGATGTGCCACTCTCACAGAAGCCTGCAACACAAGGGAGAGAAGTAGCATTATTAACTATATGGTAGCTTAAACATCTTTATCTCCTGCATGCGTTAGTACTGAGCATTTTATTTTCCTATATTTCTGAAAATATTGGCAATATAGGCCGGGCAGACACTGACCACAAGAATTTTCACCTTTTAATTTAGTCAATTATTCACTTGGTCTTTTACCCTATTGAATGACGGACTGATAAAAGCCACAGATCAAAGAATCAAAGCATAGTCAACTCACCGGTGTGTGCAACCCGTCTGTATTTACCCAACAGACAGAGGTCTGTCTTCTTCTGGAGGACAACTGGCTGGTCTTCTGGCCTTAGGCCAGTTGAGTGACGAGAGAATATGAAGGAGTACCCATCTAGGCAAGTGCCATCAGCGTCCACTAGTCTGCAGGAGTAGTGGACTGCGTAGTTGTCATAGTCAGTGTCAATAACCCAGTGGTCATCATCTAAGAGCACGGAGAGTGTGGAGGAGAGGTTACTTTTGCAAAACCATTCATTTACAAATTTTCAACTTACATACTGAGAAAAACAAAAAACAACAAAGAAAGTATGAAGCCAAAATAACAGAAAAAAATATATATATGTATATTTTTTCACTTAAAAAAACATTAAAGTAATATTAATAATACAGCTGTTTGATCCAGTGGTGGATACTGATGTTTTAGTGATTGCATCCCGTGTCTAAAATGATTACTTAACCTCCTTTTTCTTTAATAACACAGTAAATACATAGTCATACCCCCTGATGTTAAAATTGAACTCAACAAAACACTATTCATTTTCCAGTGTCCGGGGTCACGAATTAAGTGCAGCAGTTGATAATTATGTTATATTATCAGTTGGCTTAAGGTCAAAACCCCCTTGGTGGTGACTATCAAGTAACAATTACAGTGTCTGGTCGTTCATTGTTGAAAGGATTTCTTTTTAAAGTCTGAACAAAGACAAATTGAATCAACATGAAAGTTAAAGGTGCTTTTCACTTCATAACTTACTTCCTGTCTGCAAGTAGGATGCAGCTCCCCAATACTTCATCTTAAACTTTGCAGGGTCAGCAGTCTCCTCGAATGTGGCAAACATGTGGGCACACATCTCCCAGTTGCTAGAGGTCAAACAGCGAGAATAAGCCATTACAAAAAATGCGAGACAAAAAAAAATCTCATATTGCAAATTGCACACGTTCAAAACAAAAGCCTCTACAGAACAGAGCCTACTTGAGGATGATGACTCTGCCTTGGGCGGTGGCAGTCATTTTGCCATCTTCTTCAATATTTATCTGGGCTACGACGTTGTCAAGCAAGAACAGGCCTTCTGGATCCTTCTTCCCTACAGCATACCATGTCCCTGCATACTACGAGTAGAAGAACACATTAAAGAAAAATCACGGTGGAATAGTACTACTCAGAAATTATGTAAAACATTTTTTTTTAAATAACAACATAGTTAATATTTTTCAACTCACCCTAGTTTTGTCGAAATTCTGCATGACGTTGATGTTGGCTACCTGGCAGTCCTGTGCCCAGGACAGTGCCAGGAGAGAGAGGGCTACAACGTACCGAAGCATTCTACCTCCGAGGAAAGAAGAAGAGAAAGAAGGCACAGACCACAGACAGTTAGAGAAAAAAAGGAGGCATAATGGAGAACAACAACAGAAATACAGACATGCACACTGCACTGCAAGTCCTCAAGACGAGCAGAATGTGATGAAACTCCAAAAAGTACTTCCACAGGGCTACAATAGTGTTTAAAAAATAAAACCAATACCAGAAAAAATGATATATCTTTAAATATTTGACTGAAAATGTAAAAGCAAAACCCCCCCAAAAACAATCCATATGAGTGTGTACCTTGATACCACAAAGACTCCAAAGAAATCCTCTGATTTTCAGTCTGGACTGGCCTTAAATACAGCTGGCCAGTATTACATAATAACTTCTGGAGACCCAGAGTGCCCCTGCTTTCCCCACAGCGAGTTTGCCTTCCATTGGACAAACATTTACATAACCGCAGACCCCACTCCTATTGATTTATGTGTTCTGCACATTTGGTGGACCACCCCTCCCAATCTCCACCACAATATCTGTTTTTTCACTTATTGCTAAAGGATTCCTATTTTTATCAATGCAATGACTGGTAGAACCAGAAAGATCGGATCTACATGTATATCTTTTTTTGAGGGGGGAGGGTTCTTTCTGTATTTGCCAAAGAAATCATAAAACACGCTTTGACCAGCATCTGTGTTATTGCATCAGTTGTTTTCATCTTCCAGCTCCGTGTTTGTGTAACTGGAGCTCAGAGTCCACGCTCGGCAGAAAATAATCAATGCGAAAGAAAGGTGATTACGTCTTTTCTAAAAGCAAAGTCTGAAGTTTCAAACGGAGGTCAATAATGATAGGAACTGTTAGCACAACATATATGGAAGCTGATCTTTATGTATTTTAACCTTTG